AAACCAAAACGATGAGCTAAAGGAGGCTAAAACTGCTCACTGCAGCGTTAAACTATTCATTAGCCGAGCTCCGCTGTTGCTTCCTCTGAGTTAATAGAATCCGTTTACGTCTCAGATCCCCGGACGCCTCTTATCAGGAGAGATGATGCAAACCTCCCGCCGTCTCCCAGGGATCCAGGTGCACTTGTTTATCTGTTTTTATCGGCCGTGCGATGAGCGGCAGACTGAGGCTAAACCGGGAAACGCAGCGATACGAGCGCGCTGATAACCCTGGAAACGCTTCGTTTTTCATTCAGAGATCCTCAGTCTGCTGCTCACGTCTTCAATCAGCCCTCAGAGGGACGGAAATGTGAGACTGGGAGGGAAACACCCAGAAACCCAGCCAGGGGGAGGAATTCCCTCCGACCGCCTGGAAACCTGAGATCCTCCTCCGCACAATGGAAGGAGAGGTTTTCTCCTTTGGCTTTAGAACCGTCTATTTTCATCGCGGGCGGCCCTTCCCGGCTGCAGAGCTTCCTATCGCAGAGATGACGACGAGCGAATCACGCGGGAGGCTGCCATGGTGAAAAACAACAACAGTGAAAGTGTGTCAGCGTCGCCGAGAAGAAGTAGAACAGAGGAGGAAACCGAAACGAAATTGTTGCTACGCTCATCGAGACGCTGATCGACTGCTATTAACGACGGAGGTCTCTGGAGGGGTTTGATATCTGAAACACACTGAAGCCATTATGTGATTATGAAGATGGACTCAAATCGCTTCCACTCAGAGAAAAACTTCAGATTTTTTGGAAAGTGCAACAATCACGCCAGTGTCTCCAGAACTTCACCGCTCCTCCTCTGTTATGTGTGTCTTACTGCAATATTAAAGGACTTATTTGAGGTTTTTCTGTTGGTTTCATCCCTTTAAGGCAACATTTGCTCACATTCCCACTCGCACAATGATATTTTTTGCACTTTTTGTCAAAGTTGTGCGACACCACAGGTCAGACCAAACGCTAATGTTTCATGATGAAGTGTTTTTTATTTCTCCGACAACTCGACAACAAGGTGCGATCAAAAAGTCCTGAGGCTGTTTTTTTTTGGGTGCGAGTCAGGAGGTTGTGTTACATCAACGACGTGTGTTTTCTACGTGTTTCACAGGTTTATGATTATTTAATGACGTGCAAACATGGAGGATGCTGACCAGAGGAGGGTCTGCAGCTCCCACCAACAGAAGAAACAACATCCAGGGTTTCAACTGTCTTCGTCAACTCGGGCTTTCCTGATTCACATTAAAGGAGGCGTTTAAAACATGAATCTTCTTGTGCAGCTGCTTTAGTCAACACATCGTTTCAATGGAGAAAAACGAAGAATGAAAAGCTGCTGCTGCCAATGATGAAGGCAGGAACGCTGGTAGAAAGCTGCTAAATCCATCCATCCATTATCTACACACCGCTTAGTCCTCACTAGGGTCATGGGGGGCTGGAGTCTATCCCAGCTGACTCAGGGTGAAGGCAGGTTCACCTGGACAGGTAACCAGTCTATCACAGGGCTACACTTAGAGACAGACAACCAAGCACACTCACATTCACACCTACGGACAATTTACAATCACCAATTAACCTCAGCATGTTTCTGGACTGTGGGAGGAAGCCGGAGAACCCGGAGAGAACCCACGCTGCACGGGGAGAACATGGAGACTCCACGCAGAAAGATCCCGGGTGTCCTCACTGGGACGCGAACCGGCGACCTTCTTGCTGTGAGGCAACAGTGCTAACCACTGCACCACCCTGCAGCCGCTGCTAAATGTGTGTTCCTATATTTATTTTACTGATCGATGCAGCTGATTATTTCTGACTAGCTGCACATTATTATTTTATTTTAGTGTATTATGTGTAACTCCACCTCTCATGTGGTTTTATAACTTCTCCTGCTGCAGCCGTTTTCCTGCACAGAGACGTGAACTCTTCGCTTCGATTTGACCGAGTTCGGCTGCAGGTTGATCAGCAGCGGCTCCGTCTTGGTGGAAAACAAGTTGTTTCCTCCAGTCAGACCTGCTCTCCTCCCTCCACGTGTGCTCTTCTTTGCTCTCATCTGTTTCATCCTGCTTTGACCTTCGGCGCATCTGGAGGTGGAACGAACACAACAGCCGAGCTCGGGCCTCCGGGGAAGTTATTACAGCGACTGCTCTGCTCCAACCTCCAGCCAGGAGGCCGGCCGTAAATCCAGGACGTCCACATCTCGTCGGCCAGCGATCGAAGTCGCCGCTGAAATTTCTTTTCGCCACATGTGCTGGACTAACGCGTAACAAAGACAGTGGGTTCGCTGTGGAGAGCAGCCGGCTCAGCTTCACCTCCGCAGCGTTTACTGTTTGCGCGCCCGTTGCCATGGCCCACTTTTCACCGCGCCGCCACATTTTAAGCGCAGGATCTAATTGAAAAAAAAAAAAAAGTCAATCTATCGATCTCTAAGTGTGTTTACGACGGCATCCTAAAAATAGGCCTCGACACCGCCGTGACATCTGTGTCACGCCGGTCGACATCGACTGGCTCCGGAGAGGCAGAGAGACGCTGCCACCACTGATAATAATATCTGTCCTCCTTAGTTCGTCTCCCAGCGGCTTTCGGTTCAACTTTGCCGAGAACTAAACATGTTTCCAGACTGACCTTAAAAAGAATAAAATAAAAAATGGGAGGAAGTTCAGGATACAAGCAGACAAAAAAAACAAATAAATGTAAAAGCTGCAGCCTGTAATCTGATTACACGCCCTCCACCACACCAGGCTTTACGATTTCACGTCGCCTGCAGGGACTCAGACCTCGTCGCTTCCCAAACTCGGAGACATGAAAGACTGAACATTTCCAGTTCCAGGAAACATCCATCTGCTGATCAGGGTCGTGTGATAGGACGCTATGAAAATGTTTTTTGTGGTGTTTTCAGACTAAACGTGACTCAGAGTGACAAGTTTAGGAAAAGCTGCTTGTTTTTGGTGATTAAAAGTCTCATTAATATGCAGTTAGTCCACATTCTGCACATTCACAGACGTTTAGTTGTATGTTTTGGTTTTACTAGAACATGTTTACCTGCTTTTAAATGTTATATTAGGAGACGATTGATCTCTTCTGATGTGATGAATCACAAATTATGTATTTATTACCCGATTTCATGTCGAGCTGCAGCCGTTAATTGATGAGTAATTATTGAATATTTGGAAAAATTGGCTGTTTCTGGACTCTTTCATAACCAGGCTCTGTCATCTTGGGCTTTGGAAAACACTGATTTTTTATTTTTTTTAACCATTTTTTCTTTCACCTTTGACCAAACAACTAAATGATTATTTGCTAAATTAAAATGAGTTGCACGTCTAGTTTGATGCTTTATAGAATAAAATTATTGATGAATGCATCACGGATGAATGTGTAAAAAAAAAAAAAGCTCTGATGAAAAGAGACAACCCCAAAAAATAACTCGATTGTTGT